ATGCAATTTTAGACGATTTTTCGTCCAAACCGGGCCTCAATATCTTGTTTCGTTCGAAAGATATCGAGGGTCGCAGGTTTTGACTTCCACCCCCCCTAGCGCCCCCCAAAAATTTTTTGGGGGTCTGAAAATTTGGGGAAAGAAGCGCTCCAGTATTAGTAACTGATAGACGAAGTTTGAATAAGTTTTAGTGGGGGTGCGAAAAATGTCGTTTTTGCATACGGCTCTTTTGTCGATCAACCAGACCCTTCTGGTTTATCCAATCGAAAAAAATTAACTCAAAGTAACCCAAAGTGACCAAAACCACGGAAATTTTCAACTATGTGTATACATACATTAATGTGGCAAAATATGTTCAAATATATAGCGACGTTTGTTATCATTTTAGTATGAATTCACCGAAAGATTACGTTTCAAACAACTTCATCTTACACTCACTCATAGTATTGCTTCAAGACTCCGTCGTATTGGTTAACAACAACAATAACGAAAGGTATGAAAGCGCTGATGAAAAGAGCCAATCCAATGATGGTTGTCTTCCGTGAGCTCCATCTCCAGCAAAAGTAAATCATCACCGATCCTACTACGAAGAAGTGCATATCAGCCGCGATATACCAAGTTTGTAGTAAACACTAAAAAAAAACATACACACAGACATTAGTCAGGGAAATCGGCAGATGATGTTTTAACTCTCCCTTTCTAAAAAAAAACGTGTTAAAAATTTGCTTCCGCTACGTCAATTTTTGAAGATGATAGCTGTCTCACATTTTAGGATATAGTTACAAAATTTTCCAATTTTACGGTCTAGTACATTTTTTTTTTCAAAAACATTCTTGATTTTTTTTCCATACGTAACTTTATTTTGCATTTTAATGTATGTCCTCTGATAATTTATAGCTTGAAATCCATCGCTTATCTTTCTAAAAACCCCTACCAACGAAATTTAAAGTATGCTCTGACAATCATTCTTCACGTTGGACAATTTTAACATTCTCATTCAGCTTGAATTTTTTCACGATAAATATGAACTTTTTCAGTTTTTTATTTATTTATTCATTCATTTCCTTGCGCTTGAGAATCCTTGCATACATCTTCGATAGTTTTTTTGGGAAAGTTGATTCAAATGTTGGATTAAAGCCCATAAAAATACCTTGGCGTATCTTCTCTTGTTAAACGATTTATCTCTCTTCCGTGCTTCACTTTCTCCCACTTTTCGCCGAACTAGGCTGAGAGACTGCAATGCACGTAATACAACAATTTCGACGGACGTGTAGCTTGAATTGCATGCATATCCACTCCATCCAGTATAGAGGCACATCGTTTCTCACCCGTGTTCTTAGTCGCGTTTACACGTTTAGAACTTAAAATCGAAAACAACGATTTGCATCGTGCTTTTCAAAGATTTGCGAAGGTCACTTTCATCAAACTTCAGATCAATAATTTTTTAACATCTTTGTCTGCAGATATGAGCTTTACGGGCAAAGAATGAACAATGCTTACGTAATCCTGAGGATTATAATAGTTGTTGATGAAAAGCAGATTGGTCCACCATCCCTTCCTACAGTAATCCACTTCTGTTTCAATGACGGTCTTCCACATGGGTCCGTTGGCCAGCGTGGGCAAAATGAAAATCGTACATGCGAGGATGAACATGTATGGTGGAAGCACTCTAAAAAAATTGCCAGGAAAACACACAAAACCACGAACAATCACTATAAGCTTAAAAGAATATCTATATACAATGCATATTGAGACACGTGTAACGCAAAGTGAATGCAATTGTATGCAAATCATTACAATAATATATATTGTAATGCATTACACAAAAACAGAATCAGTCGGAGTGAAACAGTAGGAGTGAATTCAAGTGTTTGTCCTAAAAAATAGCGCTGCCCTTGGACCAGTTCTTCCTTCCTCCCCCTCTCCCCACAGATGGCGGAATTTTACCATATTTTTTTATAGGCAATTTTTGAATGGGTTCGCGCAAATTACGAACAAAAATTCGGGTCTCTCTTGTTTGTTTTTTTTGTTTCTTTTGTCTCGGTTGAGCATAGGTTTGCCTCACACAAAAGAAAATAGTACGAGGTTAATAAATAAAAGAAGAAGTGCCTTTACTCCTATTTTTGGGATTGTTTCAAAGTTTTATTTCCGAAAATATCTCAATAAAGACTCCATTTATTTAACTTTCAATTTTGTTTGAGACTTCTATCGTCGGAATCATATTGTCTCGCTATGTAAAAGAGACTTTGCGCTTTTTTTTACGATCAAAAGGGAGTGAAGTGATCTTCCGATAATTTTTCCGGGTTCTTTCAAATCGATAACATTTTTAATTCAGCAATCATATTCAGAACATCATCTGGGGCGGTACTTGGCCGTGTGTAAAATCTAAAAAAAAATATATATATCATGCCGAGTAAAATCGTAAAGCCGCCTGGACGGCACAGACGGACTTTTTTTGAGGCAGCTTTTATTATCTTCTCAAAAGTTCCAAACGGGAACAATTATATACTTCAGCAATCCCTCACTGCATGCAAATTCTCCACCGTATAGATCAGAGGCTCCTCGACCCACCTGCACCAAACGCGCGTGGAGGTAGCAAGTCATTTCCCCTAAAACATTGCTTTCTCCTTCAGGTTTTCCTCATACTTTCCTCCTACTCGTTCTTTGTCCGATTGCAGTTAGTCCTCCGAGTGCAATATCCTCATAGCTTTTTTCAACAAATTTGTCCTAATTTAAATTAGGACAAATTTCCGTTGGAAAAAGCCATTAGAACATTTCACTCGTAGGACTAACAGTAATCGCACAAAAAACGAGTAAGAGAAAAGTATCAGGAAAACTTGTGGTAGGGGAAAAAAATTAGGACAGATGAAGCAACACCCGAGCGGAGAATTGCTCAAGCCGGATTTGTATTTTTGTTGATAGAGGTAAAAAAAAAGGTTAATGGTGATTGAATACTATGGTGATGTGACCTTGAATGGCATTCTGTGTCATCGACGGTGAACCCACTTTTCTGAATTAAACACTCTCCAAACTATCCTCTCCTTATTTCCTTTTTATTTTTTCTCCTCTTTTTTTATCTCATTTAGTTTTGCTTATTTCCGCACTTTTGAGTGTATGGCGCTTGCATACTAACGAGCATATCCACACAAGCGTTATACATTTTTGGAGCATGGGCGTGATCTTTTACGCAAGGATATGGAATACCGGAGCGAAAGCGTGTCAATCAGAAAGGTCGGACATGAAATTTTCGACTGAAACGGAAAATTTTGCTGTTTATTTCGTCACATACATTTTAAGGGGTAGCTCTGAAAGAAAATTTCGCGAGGAAACCTATGAAACCACTTTTAAAATCTCAAAATTTTGTATAAATCGAGTTAAAGCTTTTAAAGTTCCCAAATGTTATCCGACCTCTCCTATTGACTCGATCCGCCGTGTGCCGTGACAACTGTGCCACAGGCAGAAGATCTTGATCTGCCCCGCAACATTTTATAATATGAATATACAATAAATTCACGAATCGTCAAGATCCTCAATTTATCTCCATTAAGTAAATATACACCCATCCAATTTGTGAAAATAAAAATTGCGACCATTTTGGTCCTTTTTAATGTATAACACTTCTCTATTTTTTACCTCCTTTTAATTGCAGTTAATATTGGCATACCTGATAAGTTTGTTAGCTACGTAAGTCCAAATGTTGAATGTGTTCTTGTCCAATTGCTTGACGAGTGATGTGCAGGTGAGGAAACCAGAGATGCAAAAAAAGACATCCACAACTGGCAAGCCGACGAAAAACAGGCTAAACTCTTGGATTCTCTGCGGCATATAAAATTGAGTGAAGCATGATGTGTAATAAACTATATACTAATTCGTAACATGATAAACAACGCATGAATAAGACTTAATTAAATAAAATTGAAGTACAAAATGTTGGGGGGAAAAAACGACTTTATGACGCTCGTAAAATATGCCGATGATGATCATAAAGAAGTTAATTTAAATCGGATCGAAAAAATGTATTAATGCACTGCTCGGTAAATTCGTCGTTTTCAAATTATAGCATTCTCTGTGGTTAGAATACTTCCTCATCAGAGTTACATATTTACTCTTGAAAGAGTATACTCAAACTTCGTGATGCTATGTGTGTCTCCTCATAGCATTACTAGCACTGACAGAATTCCTGGGCCGGTGCTCCTCTTTGAATACAATGCTCCGATGTAACGGAGAATCCCTAGACAGGGACGTCCCCACTTAATAACATCTATGGCAGCAAAATTATGTCAAATCTAAATAACAAATTAATATCTTGGATTGAGCAATGCGTATCTATCTCCAAGGCTACATTTCAACAACTTCCATCCTCCGATTTTTTTACTTTTTTGAAGAAGAAGAAGAAGAGGAGGAAGAAAAACAGAACAAAAAATCTGTTTGATATCATTTTAGAATACTTCAGAATAATTAAACAAAAATTCAAAGAAAATTCAAGGAAAACTTATTGCTGATGTTTTTGAAAGAGAAGAAAATAATGTAAAACTTGAACAGAGCTTTACAACGTCTCAGCCAGAGGTACGACTTTTTCAACTTAATAGCCATCAACGTACTAGTCTCACGAGTTTGACACTTTATTTCAGATGAAGTTTGTATGACTTCTTAATTGGGTATTTTCAGGACCGGATTAAAGAAGTGGCCACATGGGCCGCGGCCCATGGCGGCAAAATGTAGGGGGCGGCAAATTTTGCAATCTTCTTGAATGTAGGTATCAAAAAAAGAGAGAAAACAATCCGTTTTAGAAAATAAATTACAAACGAGAAGAGGCGACAAAATCTCTCATTTCCTGAGAGTAAAAAGAGTAATTTCTAATTTTGACGCCTTTCGGTGACAAGAGACAACACCTTTAATTAGTCGAGTTGAGAGAGAAACGAAACACGCAATTTGACCTGGAACGGAGCGGCGCGGCGGTCGGCATGAGACGCATAGCGCCTACAAGACTGCATGAAGACTTCACGCATTGCATCAAACACACTACGGTCAGCAGCAGTCAGCTTGAAATGCATAGCGCCTACAAGACTGCATGAATACTTCACGCATTGCGCCAAACAGTGTGGTCAGCAGCGGTCGGCGTGAAACGCATAGCGCCTTACAAGACTGCATGAATACTTCACGCATTGCGCCAACGAAGTGCGGTCGGCGCAGCGGCGGAAGTTAAAATTATTAACCACATTTATGTTTGTTCTTTCATAATTTTTTCGTTTGTTTTTTATAAATGGAAGGCCTTGTCCAAACAGAGATGGGTTTACGGAACCTAACTTTTGTTAGTGTTGACAGGGCTTTCACAAAAAATGTGCCCAACACGAGCAAACGCGTCTTATACACCCCTCCCCCACCGGCACGTTCATTTGATGGTTTTTATAGATCGTATTCGACAGCTCACGCAGGTGAGATTATATTGATATTGATTGGTTCAATATGTAACCAAAGCCTCAAAAGTCAATTTAGAAATCTGAGGTAACGGGTCTTATTTGATCAAATTTTTATTCTCTCGAGTACCAAATGGCAATGAAAAGTGAAATTGTTAGGAATTTTATCATTTTCAGCTTTTCCAAATTAAATCCTAAAATTTTTGTTTGAGGTAATGTTCTATTGTTTCGAACCGAACGATAGAGCGAACCACTGTCGAATACGATCTACTGATGTTTCAAAACGAATGAGAAGGGGACGGAAAAATACAGGCGGCCCATGGGCGGCAAGTAGGTAAATCCAGCCCTGGGTATTTTATGAAATAAAACAAACTAGGAAAAAAAGTATCTGTTAAACTTTTGGAGCGTGGCAGCCATCAGGAGTGTCAGGACCCAATACACTTAGAAAAGGTCATAGGACTAGGTGAGAAAGTTTAAATTACGTTTTCGTAATAGTTCCAATTTGTGAAGGCAGGATTGACGCAGCCCTCCATGACACGGTGAGCAACAATGACCAATATCATGAGGATGAGTTTGGAGCCGTGGAGGATTTTGTGATCGTCGGGAGAATCGGTTCCTTTGAGCAGCAGTCGTCCATTCCGTAAAAGTGAAAACGGGAGGATCCATTTCTCTAATCCTAAAAAAAGTAAAAAATCAGCATAATCACTAGAATCACATGAAATTCAGGCCTTTAAGCTTGATCAAGTATGGTGAAAAGAGGTAAAGGAGCTAGATTAGAACTAGATTAAGAGCTAGATTGTTTCTATTTGAAAGAGGAGAGAGTGTTACATACTTAATAAGAAATAATTAGTGCTAAAAAATGTAGCCTGCATGCGGTCCAAAGACGAGAATAATCTCTAGACCTGAACACGGAGGTAATAAATTTAATTAGGTACAGACTAATTTTCAGTTCTGAAAGAAAACAAAAGTTTTCATTCAAAGTAACAGAAATTTTGGCCGGAGAAACAGAGCGTTGATTCCAGAAAGCTGAAGCCCTCGGTAATGAATACGAATTTGGCATGCCCAACAAAAATTTCAGGAGCCTGAACTTTGGTTCGATCCCCATTTACCAAAATTGTCAGTTACTTAAACTGGGAGCTTTAATGATTCATATGAAGCGAGGTTTTTTATCCATGCATCACATTTTATTTACCTGTGGCTTTGTCGAATGAACAATTTGTAACGTCGTACTTTTCAGGTTGTGTGGCGGCAAGGAGGATATCGATTCCGGAACATATTAGAAAAATAAATGTGACCACCATCATGAAATATCTGGAAAAACAAAAAAAATCAGCCTACTGAATCATTTTTATTTAGAAATTTTAGCGGAGAGCTACGGAAAAAATCTGCTAATCCCGCTCCTTATAAGCCGTGCAACAAAATCTGAAAGCCTTCTCGCTGTCGACTTGGTTGCAACGTTTTCCGCCGGCGTCAGACACCGCGAAAAGACGCCAGAGTATAGAGTTGACGAACAAATTGAGAAATTGGAGGAGACGGAAATGAAAATGCTCAATTTAGAAATTCAGAAATTCAAAAACTTTTACTGCGATTTGGAAGAATTTTCAACATTTTTACCTTAAAAAATATCCTCACCAGCCGCAAACGATTCCGAGGAAAATCTTTTATCGGTCCATCCTATTATTCACTGAAAAAGTTCAATTCATCTGTCATTATAACTTCTCATACACTGTGTTGTTGTATACACTATGAACTGGCACAACTCACAACTCTTAGACTTTCATTTGAGTGCAGTCATTTATCAGTGCAGAGATGGAAAGTGAAATTTCAAACGGCTCGAATAAAGAGCTTGATGCAAAAACGGCTTTTTTCGCCCCCCTCTGGAATTTCTTCAGGCTTTGTCTATTGATTACTCATACTTGAGCGCTTCTTTTCCCAAATTTTCAGACGCCCCAAAAATTTTGGGGGGGAGCTAGGGGGGACGGAAGTCAAAACCTATGAAACTCGATATCTCTCGAACGAAGAAAGATATCGAGGTCCAGTTTGGACGAAAAATCGTCTAAAATTGCATACTTTAAGATTCTAAAGGTCAAAATCCCGATATCACATTTTTAAGTCAACATATGTGCTTTTTTCCAGTTTTTGGGTCTGAAAAATTTCTTTTCAACGAAAATTTTACAAAGATCTCAATTTTTTATTTGAACCAAAACCAGTTTTTTAAATTGTTCGTCTTTTTCCGCATCCAACGAGTGGTCCATTAAGCTGGGGAACCGAACGGTTCCGGAGTTATGATCGGTTGAAGTTTCCGCTCAACGCGCGCTGACCGATTTTCGCGCGCCAAAAAGTCGGATTTCACTGTTATTAAATCAGATTGAATGTTCAAACTGAGCAAAATGCATTATCAGGGACTCTTGAGGGTCGCTGAGTTCAAAAATCACAGATACTTCCAAAAAATTCACGTTTTTAAAATTACAGCTCCGTACAGGACCACTGAACGGCCGGTCGGCGCTCAGTGGGCCTCTTAAATAGCGCTACGGAGCTGTAATTTTAAAAACGTGAATTTTTTGGAAGTATCTGTGATTTCTGAACTCAGCGACCCTCAAGAGTCCCTAATAATGCATTTTGCTCAGTTTGAACATTCAATCTGATTTAATGACAGTGAAATCCGACTTTTTTGCGCGCGAAAATCGGTCGGCGCGCGTTGAGCGGAAACTTCAACCGATCATAACTCCGGAACCGTTTAGTTCCCCAGCTTATACGACCACTCGTTGGATGCGGAAAAAGACGAACAATTTAAAAAATTGGTTTTGGTTCAAATAAAAAATTGAGATCTTTGTAAAATTTTCGTTGAAAAGAAATTTTTCAGACCCAAAAACTGGAAAAAAGCACATATGTTGACTTAAAAATGTGATATCGGGATTTTGACCTTTAGAATCTTAAAGTATGCAATTTTAGACGATTTTTCGTCCAAATTGGACCTCGATATTTTTCTTCGTTCGAGAGATATCGAGTTTCATAGGTTTTGACTTCCGTCCCCCCTAGCTCCCCCCCAAAATTGTTTGGGCGTCTGAAAATTTGGGAAAAGAAGCGCTCAAGTATGAGTAATCAATAGACAAAGCCTGAAGAAATTCCAGAGGGGGGCGAAAAAAGCCGTTTTTGCATCAAGCTCTTTCACAAAAGTTGAAATTTATTAATTTTTTTTAGAATTATTGATTAAACCTTTGGAGGTGTGAAAGCGTTTCAGATGGTCTTTCAGTTGATGCTGCGGTATTCTGCTACTCTACTGAAGGTGCCAGACACAAAGAGGGGGCAAAAAGGGGAGTTTAGAGAGAAGAACCCCAACCTAACCTCTAAACTAAACGAAAACATTTGCAACGCGCGAATTTTTTAGGCTTGGGGTGAAAAATTTCAAAATTTAGAATCACTGTTTCTAGGCATTTCTTAGCCTCATATAGGTATCCCCAAAAGTTTCAATAAATTTCATGAAATTTTTTGAAATTTCACTCGAATAAATTTCATGAAATTTTCCATCTCTGTATCAGTGGCGTGGGGTGTTCGCTATATATCGATTGATCTGTCATTTAAACCTATGGAATAGGATCGATTAATAGGGTGTTTTCACCGAACACTTTAATAATCGATTTACCATAGCTTCAAATGGAGAAATATCGAAAATCGATCATTCACGCCTCGCCTCTGTCATTTAAAGAGTCTCGAGTCTCCTTTTCGATTCTTAAGGAGGCACTTTTCCACCGATGTAAAATTACCAATGGGATACCTATCACTTTCACACCATGACCACATCTCCTATTTCCGAATCAAAATTCGTCTTCAATAATGAGGTGTGAAATTTCACTCGAATAAATTTCATGAAATTTTCCATCTCTGTATCAGTGGCGTGGGGTATTTGCGATAAATCGATTGATCTGTCATTTAAACCTATGGAATAGGATCGATTAATAGGGTGTTTTCACCGAACACTTTAATAGTCGATTTACTATAGCTTCAAATGGAGAAATATCGAAAATCGATCATTCACGCCTCGCCTCTGTCATTTAAAGAGTCTCGAGTTTCCTTTTCGATTCTTGAGGAGGCACTTTTCCACCAACGTAAAATTACCGATGGGATATCACTTTCACACCATGACCACATCTTCTACCTCCGAATCAAAATTCGTCTTTCAATAATGAGGTAATGTTCTCTGAAGCTCGTCGCCATTTTGAGTGTTTGCATTCTCTCGCCTCCCTCTAACCGTGCCAATATTTGGGCAATGAGCACAAACAAGACAACAACTTGGTATGAAAGCGAATCCAGCAACCTTGACCGCGTGTTCTCGTGTGCAGCAAGCGCACCGCTGTCGATGAAAATTCAAAAACACGGACAGAGCTGGATTCTTTTGACTGCACAGTAGACACCGGATAGACTAGTTGGAAAGAAAAAGCATGGCTACGCGTATTGCACTCCGTAGTCCGTATTGCTCTCAGACTACTGGAGTCCTAGAGAAAAAAAAGGAGGTGTTTGCATTTCGGGCATCTTGGAATTTTTTGATGACTTGATGACGTAGGTGGGTACAGTGTGAAGGGGACTTCCCTGTACCCAGCTGTACCCACCTACGTCATCAAGTCATCAAAATATTCCAAGATGCCCGAAATGCAAACACCTCCTTTTTTTCTCTATGTACTGGAGTGATACAAATGAGTAATGGAATCTACTCTTTGTACGGAGTTAACTCCGCTCCTACGGATCGAACTCTACTCCGTATCGATATCGATGGCCAAAAAGTGAAACCACGTATCTCCGCTTACGAAGTTGCAGACTTTTTGTCATTCTTTATTTTTTCTTCAGGAAACTAGTCAACGTAATTTCTTGATAACTACCTTGCGACGTTTTCTCTTTGTTAGCAGAATATTCTGCTTAAATTTCAAGCTATAAAACTGGCTTGTTCATCTTCGAAACAATAAAATAGGAGCGGTAATTTTGAAACACCGCAACGGAGATACGTGGTTCCACACTTTGGCCAGTGATTTCCTTATCCTTATACTGCCGTGCTAAGGAAAAGCGCTGTTTGAACCTCCAGGCGTTGCCAAATTTCCGTTGATAAAACGCGAATTTCCTGGTAAATTTATGAATATTTTCTTCCCTATTTTTCAGATAATTTAGTCCGCAATTTTACCTAAAGATTCTGAAAATTTAAAGAAAAAATATTCATGGCTCTCCTAAAAAATAAACATTTCATCGAAGGAAATTTGGCAACTCTCAAGAGTTCATACGGCGTTTTTCCTTAGCACGGCAGTATATCACTCGGGTTTTTTGGAACAAAATTGGAGTCGGAATAAAATGCACTCCAGGATATTCTTGGAGATTTTACTAATCTAGTGAGCAATTTATTTTTCAGTGAGGTAATAATATACGATAAAAATACGAGCATGTCGTTAAAAATAAAATTAGAGTAACCACTACTTACCTCACGATTTGTGTTCCTGAAGGCTCAGAGTCTCTTTCCTCGTTCGAGGTGCATTGGAGGTGGTCAACGGTGACAGTTAAGTTGAAGGATCCGGCCCGCATTGGCCCTTCCAAGAGCGTTTGCAAAGAGGATTGCAGATCTTCCGGCGCGCAGGAGCTCGGAAGGCAAAAGGCGAGGTTGAAAAAGTCTTTCGGCACTTTTGTTCGGTCAAATTTGGATGCCTGCACAAATCGGAGAGAGAATTGTAATTGAAGAAAATCATCCTCACAAATACAGCCGAGATTCTTTCTACTCTTAGTCAATCATAACTAGAGAAAAATTATATTTATTTATATAATTCATAATAAGAATTTAGATTTTCTTGACGTAAATATTCAAAAATCCTTAGCAGTTTCCGTTCGTAAAATTTATCGCATGGGAGCAAATCTATCGCTCAAGCACGATTTTCTTTACTTAAACCTCGTCACTTCTGTTGCCTATAAATTAACCCTCTGAGGTTTTTTTTGACCTTTCTCTCGTCTGATTTTGAGACATTTATATGTAGAATGTAAATTTTAATCCTCCCTTTGCGAAAATTCCTCAAAATTCAGAGGCCGTGCTTTAGTTCCACGTAAGTTTTTGTAAATAGGTAAAAATTGACTTCTTTGAACTTATTGGCGCATTTGCAGAGAGACACGAGATTATTGATTGGTTGGTAAAATTTAAGTGATTATTAGCACTAACCTGTAATCGATCCCATGCTGGTCTTTCCCATTCGCTGATACGCTTGCTAGATCGTTCGTAGCCTATCCGGTTGAATTTGAAAGTAGCCAGGCAGTATTGACTCGAGATGCCAAATTTTTTAGGAACCTTGACATTGAGGCACTCGTCAAAGTTACCAAGTTTGTAGTTATCCCCAACCAGGAGCCCAGTTGGGACGAGGTCTGATGAGTCGAACACTGAACAAATCAAAAAGGCATACGGACGCTTAAGTCTTTTTCAAACGTTAAGGAATACAAGAAACGGTGAGAATTACAGACGAAGAACATAAATCCTTATCAAAACACATCGAGTACGTTGAACATATGTATAATTTCCAAAGTCAACTCTTAAAGGAGTAATTAACGTTTGTAATTAACACTATGCAAACTCAGTTCAAACTCCCCATGAAAAAGCCATTATTATCGTGGGACAAGTTAGCTGTTGAAAACAAGTTACACATTGGGCAAATAGCTGGAGCTTGGTTTTATATTCTCATTTTCTCCTCCTTTAATTATGGCATCTCAAATCTTGTCAAAAAAAAATTCACCATGCAGGAAAAGTTTTCTGTCATAAAATATACCGAAAGTAGTCTAATGCTCGATTTCAGCAGAATAGACTTTGGTTTATAGGAGTAGAAAGTGTGAAGCACTAGTATAACGTTAACAAAAAGTGCTATTTCCTCCATGACGACACAATGATTCTTTTCAACCATTCTTTCCTTAAAATTATACTTATTTCTTAGTTTAGTGCTTCAAATATTCCTTTTTCCAATCATATTTGTAATTACCAACCCTGCCACTTTATGGAGATGATACAAACGTAAGCGTACAATCCATCCAGCGGAAGTACGAGGCTCTACTCATGCGTTCAATCCACTTTTTTGCGTCTGCGTGGCTTCCGATTAAGCGTGACACTCAAGATGATACCACTATTCGACCTCGTGGGAGCCAATGTTGCCTACACTTCGAATTGAAGGCGAACTGACGTGGCGACAAAGTCACCTCTTCCCATCACAAAGACCAAAGTATCACAAGCGCCAGGCGACGTTTAAAGACTCCCACCGCTATTTTATTTTTTGCAAATAAATTGTTACAACGAAGCTGTCCGAAAATGTCACTGAATTTTCTTTGTGCTGCCGATAAAATTCAGTGAAATTTTCAAACAGACTAAACCAAAAATTTCTCTGTAAAAAAATAAAATGGCGGCGGAAATTTTGAAGCGTCGCGTGGTACTTGTGATACTTTGGCCGGAAGATGACGAGTTCATCATTTTCCCTCTTAGTCTATCAGAACCATTCGTTCCAACCAATAGGATCGCTCTATACTTCCTGTGTCTTCTTTGCCTATCGCTTAGTCTATCAATTTCAATAATCAGCCCGCTGTAGCCGTATGCACTACTCCTCATAATTGACAACCAAAATGAACTCGAATAAACGGCTCTTGTCTAACAGTGTTGGCAACCGATAGGATCACTCCATACTCTTTGTGTCTTCTTTGTCTATGGCTCAGCCTATTAATTTCAATAATCAGCCCGCTGGAGCCGTATGCACTACTCCTTATACACTGAAAAAAAAAAATTCTCGGCGTTTTAAACAAGGTCCGTTGGACCCTTCATATACCGTCTCAATTTTTTACCAATTATTGGTAATTTTACCAAGACAGACTGGTAAGCTTACCTAAAAACCGGTATTTTTACTGTTTTTTTCAGGTAAGAATACCACTTTTATTGGTAATCAATTCCCGGTAACTTTGCCATTTTATCTCGGTAATTCTAGCACAGTCGATAAAAAATATTGGCGTTTTTACCAAGGTCCAGAAAAAATAACCGAGAAAATTCAATAATTTTACCGAGATTTCTCGGTAAAATTACCAATTCATAAATGATAATTTTACCAAGAAAAAACTGGGATCAAATAGAACCCTGAATTCTTGGTAATTTTACCCTTCTCTTAGTAAATACACCGAGATTTTTTTTTCAGTGTACTCCGTGTATTTGACAACCAAAATGAACTCGGATAAAACGACTCGTGTCTAACAGTGGCAGTGTAGGCAACGCCTAATTCAGTTACGTTGATTCTGGTCGAAGCCGTCCATTTCACTCCTAGACAGCGTTGCATCACCTCCGAATAAGCCCTGATCTTGATCCTCGCGCCCGAAACTGTCATTAGTCATTTCCACTCCCCGCGCGCTCATCGGCGGATGAAAGCATCCCAGCGGGGTCGGGGGGGTCGGGGGCCGGAGCTTTCACAGCATAAATATTGATCAAGCGGACGGAAATAAGCTCGTGCTCAAATTATGTTGAGCCATTCAATCCGGGTTTCGTAACATCGCCGGACCCGGCACCCGGCTCAGGTGTGAATGCAAGTGCTATGAATCCTCAAGGACGCCGCCGGGGGGTCCACCGATGCACTCGGACGGATGCTTGCACTCAACACCTCCTCGAGATTTTAAAACGGAAGCGTCCTCGGTGCATTTCGGCATGGACCCCCGATCCTAGAATGAGTATATAAAGGGTCGTTCATAAAATACGTAACGCTCCAGGGGTGATCTAAGTAGCAGTGGTCGCTTTAAGTTGCAATTTGGACGTATTTCTACCAAACGGAACTATGTGCATTAAGACTTGAGCCCTGAGACTCTTAGGGATATATGCATAACAGGGCTCACGTCATAATGCACATAGTTCCGTTTCACAAAAATACGTCCATTTGATCGGAGAATGTACCGCGATTTTATCGACGATTTATTGTAGTGTTATCGGATAAAAACTTGCGATAAATTGCAATTTCACCGCATGAATTTGCAATAAAATCGCAATTTAATCGAACGAAAAATCGTGATTAATCGAAGTGAAATTTCGTTTTTATCGAACGCAATTTAATAGAGATAAAATTGCAACAAGATCGAGGATAATCACTCAGATTTTGATGATCCCAGCGATTTTATTGCCAAAAAATTGTAAGAAAATCGCAACTTAATTTCAAAATATCGTGATATTTTCGTTGAAAAATGCTACTTGGGGAAGAGTGGAGGTGGAAAGAAGCGTTACGTCATTTTGTTTTTGCACGTCAAAGGATAAAAAGGACCAAAAGCGTTAGGATCACTCGGCCTTGGAAATTAGACATTTGGATTGCATTTTGCAAAAAGGAACCAGGAGCATTGCCGTGTTGCTAAGATTGTGGAACTTCTTTTGTCTTGGAAGAAAAATCTGATTATCCATTAACAGTTTCTATTTTACTCGCTAAAATTGTAAATTTAAGACGAAAATTACCATGTAAATTTCATATTTTTTCATGATTTCATTAATTCAATTGCAAAGGATGAAGTTGCACAATCTTACCATCATTACAATGCATTTGCTTCCTTTTTGCATAATGCATTTGAAAAAACCAGTCCAAAAAAATTGAAGCTGGATTTCAAAATGCCTGCTTTTTTCATAATTCATTCCAAAACTATTATCATCCTCCAGATCCTGTGCGGGAGCTATAGGTTGCTAGGTTCCCTGTCATTCAATCCGTAACACCACGGAGAAAAAAAACTTCGTGCGTGGGACCCGAAGTTGAGGTGATATGGATCTCTGAAGTTTTCTGATCACGCATCCGAAAACTTGAGGTCGAGCTGCCGAAGTTCGGGTCAGACATCTGATCACTTCGATATATATCGAAGGGTTCGGGTCACACATCTGAAGTACTCCGGTGCATACCGAAGTGCCTCGATGTCTGACCCGAACTTCGGCAGCTCGACCTCAAGTTTTCGGATGCGTGATCAGAAAACTTCAGAGATCCATATGACCTCGACTTCGGGTCCCGTGCGTGAAGTTTTATTCTCCGTGCGCAAAAGAAACAAGAAAATAGCAACTCACTTTGAACGGCCCACGTTGTGAAGTTACTCAGGTGCTGTCGGAAAGTTTTAAAATGCCTCGTGCATTGCGGGTTCACCTCGGACGAGACGTTGTAGTCCAAAATGTGGTGAGAGATTATCCTAGAGATCCAAGCGGGGTGGGCAACAGTACTACCTAGGGTAGCCGTCGTAGGTTCGGTCAGCGACCGCACCACCGTTGCCAGACTCAGAATGGTCATCCAAACGCACACGGTTCGGAATTGCATTTTTGACTAGATTCACGGATGAGTAACTTGAAGTAGAAATATGTAGCATAAAAGAAGGTGTGTCAGCAATTTTGTGTTATTCTGTCACATTTTTTGTTGAAACGAGCATCAGCTCGTAAGGATTGTATCGGTACCCGGCGCTGGTTTGTTACGATGGGGCATGGTTTGTGTGGACCTGCAACAATATTAAAACATTCTTAAATTATTCCTCAGGTAAAGAAATTTTTTATCGATCAAAAGTTCAAAATGTAGTAATGAGAAGGTAGCGACTATCTAAAGGGTCAGTTTGATTTGCGTTCAGCAAAAAAGGAGCGATTTTGTTGAAAAATAAAAGATCTGGACGTTAATTAATTGCCAAAATTATTCATCAAAATCGGTCGCGTCCTGGCGTCTCTAGCGATTTTCGATTTATTCTACGCGATCAAATCGGAACCGACTCCGGCACCGCCCTGTCGATCTGGACAGGATCGGGGATCCAAAATCCTTGAGAGCAAACAAAAAAATTTACTCATACAGCATTGACGACATTCTCCTTTTCTCGATTTCAAAGATTTAAAAAAAAAAATAATTTTAAATTTTAAAAAAAAGGAGTTGACACTTCACTGAGCTAATTGAAATGCAAAGTAACATTAATCGAACTCTCTCAATTACAAAAGAAGAAAAAAATGATTAAATTTAAACTTGAAAACAAAGAGGAGTTGACACTTCATTGAGCTAATTAAAATGCGAAGTATCATCACTCGAAATCTCTCAATCTCAGAAGAAGAAAAAAAGAATTAAATTTAAATTTTAAAACGAAGAGAAGTGAAAATTTGACTGATATGATTAAAATGTGGAGCTAGAAGGACGAGAGAATGAAGTCCTTGAAACCAATTTAGCCAGCTCATGAATAATGTCAAATCCAAGGAAATCTATTTTGATCTCTTCCATTTTGGATAATGAGAGGATTAATCGATGAAGCTCCCCGAAAAGTCGTCTTTTGGTGAGACTAAAGCCTTGCACCGGTTTTGACTCAAACATTTAATACGCATGTTCCTAGCTCGCTGAAAGTTAGGGAAGGGATAAGGTGTACATGATCATGATTTTTTTGTGAATGCAAGAACCATCGACTCCAGCGGAATTTATGCTAATGAGCCATCGGCTACAGTTATTTTGAGAGGGCTTAAGCGATTATTTCTACAAATCAAACTAGAGCTATGCATCCTAGCTTAGTTCCAATTTCAAAGATACGTTAATCTCACAGATTGATGTCCATTAAATATTTGGAACCCACTACGACGATGCGTTCGTAGGTATTTTTGTAGATTTTTCACCAGCACACGTGGGAAAAGTTGAAAGAACCACAAAGACTTTGATGACAGAGTTCCAAAACTATTCAGCCCGCGGAAAGATTCTGAGGTGCAGTTCTACAAGCCAAAGCCTCCTCAGGGAGTTGAAACCCCGGAGCAGAAACGAGTCAGTACGTATATTCTTTTCGTGGTTGAAGCTCCCTGGTAAAAATTGGCGATAAGAACTGCGTTTAAAAATACCATAAGAATTCTTATAGCCGGCTAAAGAAGGCTACAGAAAATCATATAGCTGGCTGTAGAATGCGGAGTGAATCATACGGCCGGGCTATACGAAGCGATAAAAAATTATGCAGCCGGGCTATAGTTCCTATCGCCGGGCTTTACACTTTATCGCCTGGCTGTTGCTTTTTCGCCATCGATTATAAAAGGCTATAAGAAATTGTGTAGAAATTCGTGTGCTTTGGAAATCATTAAGTTTGATACGGAACCACCTTAATATTTACATAACAC